AGTATAAAATATAGGGGTGCCTGGGTGGCTCAGGCGGTTGGGCATCTACCTTCAGCTCAGGTCATGATCCCAGGGTCCTGGGATCGAGCCCTGCATCCGGCTCTTTGCTCAGCGGGGAGCCTGCTTCTCCCTCCCCCCTGCTCATGCTTTCACTCTCTCAAATGAATGAATAAAATCTTTAAAAAAATTAAAACAAACAAAAAGAGTATAAAAATATATAAATGTCCACAGTACATTGTTTTAAAAATTAGATTAAAAATAAATAAAATCTTTAAAAAATTAGATTAAAAACTGACATGACTATAAGATTCAATTCATGGGGCGCCTGGGTGGCTCAGTCAGTTGGGCGTCTGCCTTTAGCTCAGGCCACGATCTCAGGTCCTGGGATTGACCCTCACATCAGGCTCCCTGCTCAGCAGGGAGCCTGCTTCTCCCTCTCCCTCTGCTGTTCCCCCTGCATGGGCTCTCTCTCTCTCTGTCAAGTAAATAAATAAAATCTTTAAAAAAAAAAAAAGATTCAATTCATTTAAAGTCCAAAAATAAGCAAAAGTAATCTCTGGAGTTAATGGTTACTATATGTCAAAGAGTTTAGAAAACATTAATTAAGGAAGCATTTTCCTGATTGCTGAAAAACAACTCAGTTATGCTCATCTGTCCCTGCTAGTAGGTTATGCGGTGTATTATGTCGTGCATAATAAAAACAAAACGAAAAAGTAAAAAAATAATAAGTAAAAAAATAAGCAAAAGTAACTTACAGTGTTAGGAGACAGGATAGCAGTTACCTTGGTGGTTTCGGTGGGGAAAAACTAGAAGGGGCATGGGGGGGGGGGGTTCTGTTTCTTGATCTGGGGGCTGGTTACACAGTATGCTCACTTTATCAAGTGGTACACTTATGATCTGTGCACTTTCCTGCTTGTATGTAAAAAGTTTAAAAAGAAAGTATGTAAGTGCTAATGCCTTTTTAAAAATAATTAGCATGTACATTAAAATGTCAACATTAATAATAGTTACTCAAAGTGTTGGGAAATGGAGGACCTTTATTTTCTTCATGCCATTCTATATCGTCAGTATAACTGTCAATATATACCATATTGTCTGACTGTTTCTCTTAACAATGAAATGTTAAGAGAACTATATTACCTTTATGATAAAATAAAACAAAACATAATTTGTACTGTACAAAGTACAATGAAAATGGTATCCGTATACACTGTTTTCCAAAAGGGTGGACTAATTTGGAATGCCATCAGCAATCTGAAAAATGTATCAACAACCACGAGAACATTCACATGGTCATAATGAATGATCCAGCGACTCTACTTCTGGAACTCTATCTTAAAGAAATTACCCCAAATACGAGAAAGAACTGCAATTTAACCTAGTGCCTTATAAGAGGGGGGAAGTTATTCTCTTTCATACCGTGCTCGTAAGGTGAAAAAGTGCCTGCATCGATGTTAATATAGGGGTCAATTTTGATGGCAGTAACTCGGAGTCCACATGATTTTAGAATCGTCCCAATGCTGCTTGCAATGATCCCTTTACCAATGCCTGAGATGACCCCTCCAGTGACCAGAATGTACTTCATTGGCGGAGGAGGTGGCTGGGTGCCAGCACCCAGAAATATTCTGAAAGGTAATAAAATTAAGAGTCAGGGAAGAGAATCATATTCTCAAAGCAGTAAAGCAAGAGTGAGTTAAACTAGAATTTCAAAAGCACACAGCATTTTTCCATATAAAGTAAATTTTTGAAACAAAGTCTTATTTTCTTTCTTTCTTTTTTTTTTTTTTAAAGATTTTATTTATTTATTTGACAGAGAGAGACACAGAGAGAGAGGGAACACAGGCAGGGAGAATGGGAGGGGGAGAAGCAGGCCTCCCGCTGAGCAGGGAGCCCGATGCGGGGCTCGATCCCAGGACCCTGGGATCATGACCTGAGCTGAAGGCAGACGCTTAAAAACTGAGCCACCCAGGCGCCCCAAAGTCTTATTTTCTAGGTTTTCCATTTTTGGCTCTATGCAGAAATCGGTGGACACTATCTGCAAGCAAAGTGGCGGGCTCCATTGCCCTGATTTTCCATTTACCCCAACTCTATCATGTGACAAACTTCATCATGAGAAACCAAATTTCCCTGGGATTCAGAAGCATGGTAAAATTTTTAAGAGAAAATGATCTGGAATCAGACTGATCTATACAAGCTGTACCTGGGCAAGTTACTAATCCTTTCTGTGCCTGTTTCTTCATCTGTGAAATGGAATAAAAAATACCAGTCCCTTGGAATATTACTCAGCACTAAAAAGAAATGAGCTGGGGTATCTGGGTGGCTCAGTCGTTAAGCGTCTGCCTTCGGCTCAGGTCATGATCCCGGGGTCCTGGGATCGAGCTCCACATCGGACTCCCGGCTCTGCAGGAGGTCTGCCTCTCCCTCTCCCGCTCCCCCTGCTTGTGTTCCCTCTCTCTCGCTGTGTCTCTCTCTGTCAAATAAATACATAAAATCTTTAAAAAAAAAATGCTTTTAAAAAGAAATGAGCTATCAAGCCATGAAAAGACATGCGGGAAACTGCAGTGCATATTACTAAGTGAAAGAAGTCAATCTGAAAAGGCTACATACATACTGTATGATTCCAACTATTTGACATTCTGGAAAAGGCAAAACTATGGAGACAATAAAAGATCAGTGAGGGCGCCTGGGTGGCTCAGTTGGTTAAGCGACTGCCTTCGGCTCAGGTCATGATCCC